TACCATCTGGTTATGACTAACAGTTCGCCATGGTATAGATGGCCCAAGGAAATAGATGGTTTACCTATTGAACATGGTGATTTTCCATGGCTATATTAAATAACCAGAGGGTACTATCTACAATGACATTTGGATCCATGGAGTTGGTCGAATTCTTGGGCGACTTGTAGGGTTCCCTTCAGTCAAACATGGCAATGATAAATCCTGGTGAAATCCTATAGATAGGATGGTTTTTATATGTTTTAATGAGAACATCATCTATACATAACTGGTTGGTGGTTTGGAACATTTGGATTCATCCAGTTGGGAATAATAGTCCCAACTGATGAACTCATATTTTTCAGAGGGGTAGGTATACCACCAACCAGATAAGGAATTTTCCATTGCCATTTTTTTGGGTTGCCAGAGGGTAACCCATATTTAACCCATATTCAAGAGGTCGGGCGACCAGTAACTTCAGCGTGAGAAAGCTGGAGCCGCTCGGGGGTGGCATAAATTTCAATGAAATGATGGGTAGCTTGTTGGTGGTTTGGAACATTTTTTTTCCCAACTGACTAATATGTTTCAGAGGGATTGAAACCACCAACCGGTTAAAATCCTAAGATTCCTTTTCGGTTTTAATATGGACACAGTGATGGAGTCTCGGGGTTTACCTGGTTTTACTGATGTTGAAACCAAGAAAAATTGGAGTGTTCGTGAAGAGCACCATCTTACTTTATTCAAAAGTTGCGTTTATTTTACCAATTCCGATGGATACAATGTTGGGCCTCCGAGATAGGTATGTTGGTTGAACATGGTTGAACAAACTAGGTTTACAACATGGTTCATGGATGTTATTGTAGATGATAGATGTATACAGTATAGTCAAATAATGTGCATATATATATACTTTTTTTGTATGTGCGTATAATAAATATAATATATATATATATACCAGTAGTACCCGCACGAGGCGGGGCGGAAGTTGCCTTAAAGATATACATAAGACCTTTCTCATCTATAGAACTTGCCTGCGCCGTGCGCCAGCCAAGCCCGTGCGTGCGTGCACTCTGCGAAACTGGTGTCTTGTTTCACATGTCACATTTGAAGCTCCACTTCGCACTTCGCACTTCTCACTGCAGTCTTCACACTCCACATTACACACTTCACACTCCACACTTCACACTGCACTCTTAAGACTCCACACTTCACACTCCACACGTCACACTCCACACTTCACACGTCACACTGCGCTCTTCGCACTCCAAACTTCACACTTCACAGTCCACACTTCACACTTCACAGTCCACACTTCACACTTCTCACTCCTCACTGCTTTCTTCACACTCCAAACTTCACACTTCACACTTCACACTGCACTCTTCACGCCCCACACTTCACACTGCACTCTTCACACTCCACACTTCATCTCATCTGAGCCCTTCTCACCTTATCACAGCTCATCTCTTCTCATCTCTTCTCATATGTCATTTAAGCTTTCATGAATCACTTCCCAGTACTACTACTAATCACTGTCGCAGCCTTGATGCACCCACTCCAATACGATTTACGATCTTCAGCTGCACAAGACAATAGTATTACGCATGCAGCCGCGGCACCAAGCAACCTTGACGCAATGGTGTCGGAAATTGCAGCTCCAAAACCGGATCTCGACGCCAAAGCAGAAAAAAACGATTTTGAAGCACTTTTTAAAAGGATTTTTAAAAAGAAAATTGCTAGCGCCAAAATTGCGAAAATTTGCTGGCAAATCACTATCGCAGCCTGGATGCAGCCATTATAATGCGTTTCGAAGCATCACGTCGCTAACCCGCATCTCTCTACGCGCATGGCAACGCCAAATGACAACAATCATGCAGCCATTCCAATGCGATCTGCCACCACAGCTTCAAGAAACGCATAGAACTACGCGCACAGGAACTTGCAAAACACATAGGAGGAACAATTCGCGACAGAAACGACCCCAGCCGCACCCGCCGCACAGACGAGGTACCTTTCATCGCCGGCTGCAGCCACTTTACACGGAAAAACGCAAGGTTTCGTGCTCCGGCTTCCTCCCCAAAACATATCCCATGCAACATTCATGCAGCCATTCCAATGCGATCATGCAACCAGAGATTCAAGAACCGCATAGAACTACGCACACAGGACCAACCACTCGTTGCAAAACACATAGGAGGAACAATTCGCGCATGAAACGACCCCAGCCGCACCCGCCGCACAGACGAGGTACCTTTCTTCGCCGGCTGCAGCCACTTTACACGGAAAAACACAAGGTTTCGTGCTCCGGCTTCCTCCCCAAAACATAACCCATGCAACATTCATGCAGCCATTCCAGTGCAATCTGCAACTAGAGATTCAAGAACCGCATGGAACTACGCACGCAGACACAACCACTCGTTGCAAAACACATAGGAGGAACAATTCGCGCACAAAACGACCGCAGCCGCACCCGTCGCACAGACGAGGTACCTTTCATCGCCGGCTGCAGCCACTTTACACGGAAAAACACAAGGTTTCGTGCTCCGGCTTCCTCCCCAAAACATAGCCCATGCAACATTCATGCAGCCATTCCAATGCGATCTGCAACCACAGCTTCAAGAAACGCATAGAACTACGCACACAGGAGCAACCATTGTTGCAAAACACATAGAAGGAACCAGAAACGACCGCAGCCGCACCCGCCGCACACACGAGGTACCTTTCATCGCGGCTGCAGCCACTTTACACGGAAAAACACAAGGTTTCGTGCTCCGGCTTCCTCCCCACAACATAGCCCATGCAACATTCATGCAGCCATTCCAATGCGATCTGCCACCACAGCGTCAAGAAACGCATAGAACTACGCACACAGACACAACCACTCGTTGCAAAACACATAGGAGGAACCGATTGAACTCGAAACGATCCAAACCGCAACCGCCGCACACACGAGGTACCTTTCATCGCCGGCTGCAGCCACTTTACACGAAAAAACACAAGGTTTCGTGCTCCGGCTTCCTCCCCACAACACACGGCATGCAACATTCATGCAGCCATTCCAATGCGATCTGCCACCACAGCGTCAAGAAACGCATAGAACTACGCACACAGGAACAACCACTCGTTGCAAAACACATAGGAGGAACAATTCGCGACAGAAACGACCCCAGCCGCATCCGCCGCACAGACGAGGTGCCTTTCATCGCCGGCTGCAGCCACTTTACACGGAAAAACACAAGGTTTCGTGCTCCGGCTTCCTCCCCAAAACATAGCCCATGTAACATTCATGCAGCCATTCCAATGCGATCTGCAACCACAGCTTCAAGAACCGCATAGAACTACGCACACAGGAACAACCACTCGTTGCAAAACACATAGGAGGAACAATTCGCGACAGAAACGACCCCAGCCGCAACCGCCGCACAGACGAGGTACCTTTCATCGCCGGCTGCAGCCACTTTACACGGAAAAACACAAGGTTTCGTGCTCCGGCTTCCTCCCCAAAACATAGCCCATGCAACATTCATGCAGCCATGACTAAGAATGAAGCAGCCATTCCATTCCAATCTGCAACCAGAGATTCAAGAACCGCATAGGACTACGCACACAGGAACAACCACTCGCTGCAAAACTCAAAGTCAGTTCTTTCCTGATGTATTGTTATTGAGTGTACAGTCTCACAACCACCCTTCATCAAGGTCAGTTCTTTTCTTATGTATTGTTATGTAGTGTAAAGTCTCACACCACCCTTCATCAAGGTCAAGTCTCACTCGCGCACCACCCTTCATCACTCTGTATTGTCATGTAATGCAAAGGCTCACACCACCCTTCATCAAGGTCAAGTCTCACTCGCGCACCACCCTTCATCATAGTCAATTCCATCAAGTAAAAGTCATTCGTAACTCGGAAGTATTGCTTCCCAACTTCCTTTGATTATATATATATATTCTATCTATATATATACTATATATATATATGATATATATATATATATATGATATATATATTATATATATCATATATCACATATCAATATCAAGTTAGATGGATTAACATTACTCAACAATCATATCTGGCGGGCCCACAAATTGCATTATCACTATCACATTTTAGTCCAAGGGATTTCCCTATTTTCCATAGTAAGATCATGTAATATTCCTTTAAAATCCATTTAAATCCTATGAACACCTTGATACATCATATACATCATATACATATATAATCATTTATTTTTATTATATATATATGTATGTATATATATATGTCTATGTATATATATATGTACAAATATGTATTCATGATTCATATATATATATATATTTGCAATTATGTAAGGAACATCCATTCCTATTTCCTGGGTCGCAGGATGGATCGAAGTGGTCACTTGGAGGACCTGGCGGTGACAAGGCGATAGAGCGATGTCGTCCTGATGTGGAAAGACATCATGGGAATACATATTACCCTCCGGTTATTTAACATAGCCATGGAAAATCACCATTTTTAATAGGTAAACCATCTATCCATTTCCCATGGCTACGTTAAATAACCAGAGGGTATATAATATGTGTATAATAATTTTTTATATATTATACAATATAATATATTGAATGATATATATATATGTAAGTTGTATGTATACAATTGTATAATTGGGGCTGTGTGATCTGAGGGATGTGTGCACTTGGAACAATTCACCCGGTAGGTTGGGCACTGAATGATCCCTTCAGAGCCAAAGACAGAACGCTTGACCGGGTGCAGAGTGCAGATGCACCGGTCCGAACATGGGACAAGGCGTGGATCTTGGCCGCCTTCGGCGGAGCAAGCATTCCTTGCGCAATGCTGGGGTGCAATGCTTGGGTGCATGGTGCCGGGGGTAATCACCCTAGGCTGCCACCCCAATGGTCTCCTGAGCGGCTGGGGTCTTGCAACGCCGCATCGACCTGATCGAACGCTGCAGCGTGCTGGCCCTGAAGAAAATCAAAAGCCTGCCAAAGGCTGAACTTTTCGCACACCTGCACGCCATGGAAAGTTCCCAAGTCCCGTTGCCGTTCAGGATCAGATTGGACGTGTTTGAGAGACAGCAGGAGGACGAGCACGTGTTTTTCTTTGAGGGTGACAAGCTCAAGGACCTCAAGGACAAAGAGAAGGACAAAGAGTTTGACCCCGCAGAGTTGGCACGTCCATTCGTTTTCTGGAAGGAGGCGGAGCCGTTGAAGGAGAACCGCTTGCATCTGAATGCTATCCTTCAAGCTCAGGAAGCGTACCTGCAGGCCCAGAAAGCTTCTGGAGAGCTCAGCGGCAGTGGGAACTGGCAGCGGAAATGGTCTATCATGGCCGATGGCGACGCTGCCAGGCCAACAGCTGCAGGGAAATGCACGGGAATTCTCTAGATCCCTACCACCTAATACCATTCTGTCCCAGCAAAATAGGTTATATGGTACTAACGTACCTCCATTTTAGGATCCTTTCTTATTCCCATTGAATAAATGATGTTTAAAGTACAGGGAATCACACCAGCGACACACACACACATATATATATATATATGATATATGTATACATATATATATGGTTGTTGTTCAGTTTAGTTTAGTAGGCAGTACTAAGTAATACACCGGGATACCCTCTAACCCAATGGATTTATGAGACTGGGGTTTAGCTATGGGTTGTTAGATATTACGGGTGTTAAATGATTTCCTACATATTTTGGTCTAGAGTTCTAGAGTCAGTCTTCTACCAATTCAACGGCTAGCAAGCCTTTGCAAGCAGCAGAAGAAGACTGCTGATTTGTTCCAGTTGTGTTTGAATCCTCAAGCATGAGAAGATGATCTTCAACTGATTTCGGGGTCAACCTTGGTTGTAGCTTAATGGTTGGTGTTTGTTTTCTACAGATGGCAGAATGAGATTGTAGGAAGGATGCTTATCACTAAAAATATGGAAAACACCTATATGCTATATTTCAACTAGATTACAAGATATGTTACAGGTAAACAAACATGATGTTTTCGTTTAAGATCCAACGCTTCCCATATCAGATATGGGACTTGAGGTCAGGAATGGGTATACTAAGAGAAAATTTCTCAGCCAATCCCTTCCCTGTAATATTAAATAGAAGCCATGGTTGAGTAGGATATTTCCACATGATTGGGACCTTTTGCAATATGGGGTGTTTACCCCCTGGTAATTTAACATAGCTATTGAAAATTGCCATTTATAGTTGACCTACCTATTAAAATGGTGATTTTCCATAGTCATGTTAGTTTACCAGAGGGTAATATGAACGGGGGATTTTCCTCAATCTAAGATGTCCTGGACGGGGATTAATTACTTCGGAGGAAGGGATCTGCAATGGCCAGGGCATTCCTCCACTAGTGCTGGCCGAAGACGAGTATTTGGAAGAGGCCGCCGCTTGAGCCGAGCCCAACACCAACTTAGCTATCTTGGGGGGCTCACATTGTAGTCAACCAAAACCTCCTAACCATAGCCATGAAAGCCTCCTAAAATCCACCAGAAATCCGCACGAAATCCGATCTTGACGGGCTGGGATGCTCATGAGCGCCCTTCATCGGGCCAAAACAAGATGAATGTCCATAGTAAAGGTTGTTTGGCACCCTATATTTGACTTGGACCACGAAGTGGGAAGCGTCCCATTTTTTGATGGCCTGCAGCATATCTAGCCATTCAGCCGCCTGACAGGTGCGGCATGAGAGCCTTCCTCAATGGTGGTATGTAGGCCTGGTGATGAGGGAAAGGTCATATCACAACGATTTTTACAGAAAACCGACTTCTAAAGATCTTCCAAAGGGTGTTTCGATGAGCTTGTTTGGCGAAAGAAATGGGGTTGTACTATGAAAATACTGAGTTTTAGATGAGTAAACCGGCTGGTGAATCTTTTAAGGACGTAAATGGGAAATAGTATGCCCATTCATATCTTTACATGGTCTGTGAAATCAGCGTAAAATAGCCACATGTGTGGGCGAAAATCCAACCATTGTTGTCCCTATTTCACCATTCCATGACTTGTCGAGACAGATGGGAGGTTTTTACTACGACAACGGAAAAGAAACATCGGGATGGTTGAAAGATCACTGAGATAAGATCAAACCACTTAGGGTAGCCAGCACGGTTCTCAAATGCAACACGTTTCCCGGCAGGTTCGTCCATCGAATTCAGAACCAACAAAGGGAAATTGTGTCTGGATTGCAATAAATCCATGTGAACTTCAGCAGGTCATAAGTTTGGTGAGTGGTTGGTGAGTGGGTCTCCTTTATTATTTTTTATCATTTTATATCCATTGGGATGATTTATTTAAGGGAAAATCTGCAGGAAACCAGGGGTTTTCCTATTTAAACTCGCTGGTTTCATGATGTTTCACGGTATTTTTTTCGACGAATCCAATGATCGGATGGCACTTTTCGGATCTTTTCGGGGTATCTGAGGCTATCGCTACGTGCTAACCATGCAAGCACCAAGATCGGCAAAGGGTGAATGGCTGACTCAGCACCCATGATTCTGAGTAATGTGGCAAACCCAAAATGCATCAAAATGCCATAAACCATCCACGACTTTCAAGTTTATTATTGGGTATACCGGTAGACCCGTTGAAATGGGATGATGCTTATCATGACCCCCTTCTATGGTTGGTTGATGGGAAGATGGGAGGGATGCCCAATCTTGATGTCAGACCAGTTGCGGTCTCCCGGATGGCCGTTGAGGTTTCGACATGTCGCTGGCTGGGGCAGTGGTGAGGACAAGCTGGGGTGGTGTACGCCATTTGAATTCAAAACCCCTTTTTGGTTCATAACCATAGTCTATAGTATTCTGTAGGCATTTATGGGGAAGTTAATTATAAAATATCGGAATACAAGTGGAATTGATAAATGATAGTTGGTTGATTATTTTAGGGGCCTATACTATCCAATATATTGGCCATTATCAGCATCCATTATCGGAAATCCTACTAACCAACCGGTAGAAAGGGAAGATATGGATGGTTTTGAACACTGCTTACTTAGAAATAGAATGATCCCCAGTCATATGAATAATCTATCTATTTGTTTGTCTGTCTGCCTGCCTGCCTGTTTGTCTGTCTGTGGCCGTTATCCACTCTCCACTTACCAGGAATGGGGAAAATGATGTTTACCATCAGGAATAGGTGATCAACTGATCAAGAATGGAGCTAACGGCCAAGAATCATGAAATGAATCCCTGTCCGGCTGATGTTCCCGTAACACTGAGAAGTGCCTGGCAACATGGTGCAATATAGTCCAAAGGTACCAATCCAGGAGGAGAAGATGAAGACAAGGAAGAGGATGAGGAGGACAGGAAAGGGATCCCCATCTCCCAGCAACACCTGCTGGTGAGAAGAGCTCATCAGAGGCAGAATGGAGAAACAAGGGCTACTCGAATGATGATATCATTCAAAAACGACACCAGAAGCAGATGCGTCGGGTCACAGCCAAGTCAGCTGTGAGAGCTCTAGATCGTGCCCAAGAAGAAGTTCCAGAAGAAGATGCTCTGAAGCACATGGAGGCAGCCCTCTATGCTGAGAAGATTCAGGAAGAAATTGAAAAGAAGCAAAGACAAGATGAGCAATTACGTCGCAAGGAAGAGGTTCTCAGAGCCATTGAGGCCAAAGAGGAGAACTAGTAAAGGAACAATAGCGGTCCCCAAACAGTTAGTGTTGATTTTTTCCAGGAAAGGTATAGATGGTTGGAGAATATACTGTAGATAACCAAATAATCATTAGTTTTCCCCAATAAAGTGTATATCGATGATGCTTTTCTCATCATTTCCAGCTTTCAAACTGTTTCTCATCCGTTTGGGGCAGCAATTTTTACTCGACAGGGTGAGGACATGGTGTCTTTTCGGGCCGCGTCCGGATGCCCAATGTATGGATCACTTTCCAGCTGTAGAAATGCTTGGTTGTTTCACAATTGCTTTGGTGGATTTCAATAGAGTTATTCTTGGTCTGCGTTGGGACAATATTTTCTTCATGGAATGACTAGTCGTGTTTTTCATCGACTATGATTCTATGATTTCATGAGATCACAAGATGACGTGCCATTTCTATTTTGTTTTAAATGCAACTCTATATTTCTTGAATCTAGAATATGTTTACGTCAAATCTCTACTTCAGCGCCCGGAACTTGTCTTGATGCTTTCCGGTGAGCTGCCTCTTTGCGAGGCCCGGGAAGTGCATTACCCGACTTCAACTCCATGATGGTGTGTTGAAAGGCGCCTTCAATGGCTTCCCTCGCAGGGATGGGCCGGGATCTCCGATGAAAATACGATAAAATATGTACCTTTTTCCTACGAATAAGTTATAGTTATTAGTTGTTATTAATGGTTCATGATGGCTAGTAATGATGGTTATTAATGATGGTTACTGGTTGGTGGTTTGGAACATGGATTCTATTTTCCCCAATAATTGGGATGATGATCCAATCTGACTCTCATATTTTTCAGAGGGGTTCAAACCACCAACCAGATTAAATAGTATATGGTTGGCAAATGGTGTGAAATGAATTTTCAAATATGTATCTATGATCAAATGGTGGTATGAATGGAAAATTTATTTTTAGGTCAGTATGAAAAATATTTATTATATGAAGCCCCATATTCTATAAAGTATATTTTAAGTGCCCATATCAAATGGGGGTTGAAACCACCAACCAGTGTACCTTCTTTTTGGGGGAGGGGGCAAACTCAAAACAAGTAGTTTTTTTGGTGAGATGGGTTTGTCTTTAAACTGGTTCACAACCCACCCGAAAATGACCATTTAGATACTGGGGTTGTCCAACATCACGTTTTTAGTGAGAGTGGTTTGTCCAGGTTGTGGGATAAGCATGGTATACATTTATATTCCCAGAACAGTTATTTATGATAAATATCAACCGACCATGAAATTTTGGGGTAGACGGCAGACTATATTTTCAGAGAGGGCACAAGCAACTGGCAACCTGGTGGCAGAAAACCACAACAATTGCGACCTGTAACTACCGCGACGAAGGGGATAGAAGCAAAAGGGTGAGATAGGGGCAGGCAGAAATTATCTGGAATTGTTTGTTGCAATTCCAAGTTGTAACCAACGGATTCTATCTAGAGCCTGGATATTTATGAATATAATTTGCCTTCAACATGGGTAATTTTACCCATGTTTGTTGTGCGATGTTTCCTACGTTTAGACCTTCAATGCTTGTCAATATATTGATGGGATGCCTTGATGGACAGCCAAACGGACAGTAGGATCTGTATGGATTTGCTAAGAAAAAAATGCCATGTGAATATCAGGGAGTCAGAGTACGACCTTTATAATTGAAAGAGTGTGGGCACCAGCCATTTAAGATTCTGCAAAAGTCTGCAAAGTGCAATACTTTGCATTGTTTTATTTTACAGTACCCCCAAGAAATTAAATAGCCTTGACATTATTGATTTATTATTGAATTATTGCAAAAAAACATATAGTTTCCATATGTTTCCATGTTTGCTGTGTTTCTTCTCCGACCAAACAAAACCATTGACATCTTAGGTGTTTACTTTGAACAGAGATGCCAGGTATTGTCGAAGAAGATTGCCATGTACCAGAGGGGACAGAACTCGCGACTTGGATGAAGGGGGTACCCCCAGTTCTCATCCATTTCAGATAGGGATGTTCCATTATCCATATGCTCCATGGCGCTGATATATTTTCTTATATTTACCTACAAAACTGGGTGATTTTGTTCGGGCAAATATTGGTAAATATTTCAGCACCATGGTTCGCATATGGGTTATAAACCATCTATTTTGGTGTGGTTATACTTGGTGGCTCATCCCACGAATCGTAGGTGGGTTGTAACCCCAGTTGTAGTAGGGTTAATCCACTTAAACTGAGGTGAACTAACCCACTTACGAGCCGTGGGATGAGCCATTTTGCTGTGCCCCCATTTTGGGAAACCTCCATCTAAATTCTGCAGATTGGCAGTTTTGGGGAAACCGTTCCTGAAGGAAGTGGATAGGCAACCAGTTCTTTGGATCGTACCGTTACCAAACTGACGGCTTTTCGGGAAGATTCCTTGACGGTTGAGTGCATAAAAGGAGACCTAACTTATGTTTATCGCTGCAACTGCACGGTTGACATGATGATACAGCACTGAGATCATGCCGCTTTGTCTGGGCACTCCCAATTCAAACAGATTGCTATATATATATATCCAGTTATTGTATGTAATTAACTCGCTAATTGGGTAGCTGGTCAGCAACCACACTTATAATTCATAATCAAACAGATGATCAGAATGTTCCTATTTTCAGATGGCCGCCTGTGGTGCCTATTTTCAGACAGATGTAGATCAACATAGATCGTCTCGGTGTGCGATCAGAATGTGCAAGCGAGCTGATGTTGTGTTTATGTGTCCTCCATGCGGCCAGATATGGGAAACTGCTTGATACTAATGACTAATGCCATGAAGCCATTGTAGGAACCCCAAATTCAGCGCCAAGTTAGTGGATTGTTGGGTTGGTGACATCATGTCGAGATGATCAGACTTAGATTTGTCTCATGGTGTCTCAAGCAGCAAGATACATAATGTTTTGTGGGCTAGATGATCCCTGATCTCTCAGAATGGGTTGGAATCAAAAAAATGCAGGGTTAGTTATACCCGTGGAAAAGCCCATATTTGGCTTGTAATTTACCACAGTTTTCTGTGACAAGAATCACACCCAAAGCAATTCAATGATAATCCTCAGCTTTTCAGGAGATGTTCATGACCTACTGGACACATCCTGAGGCGCGAGGGTGAAAATTGGGCCCTGGTTGGATGGTTGGAGAGTTTCACAATTTGGATGTTTGGCGAGAAAAAGGGGACAGTCTATATGTAGTACTAGGCCCAGAAGAAAAGAAAACATGTCATGTCCAAGGCTAGCCGTGTTTGGTTGCAACATGTATACTCATTCTATCTCATTCTAAGACAGATGTTGAATAATCAACTGTGCCCCAGAGCGGAGTTGCGCACGGAATGTTGATTTGAGTTGATATATTCACATCTGCCTTGTTTTTTAGTTGGTGAAACTACCATACAAGCTGCAATGTGGGGCTGCTGAGACAGGTAAGTTGGTCCATGACTGGGTCACATAATGTTCATGGTAGATCTACATATATGCAGATACATCAATGATATATCTATACATTGATCCTCGTTGATCTATACTTTGATGTGTGAACATATACCAACAAGCATAACTTGTTGGCCCCACTTTGTATTATTACGTTTCTTATTGTTCTATTAAATTTCAATGCTAGTCATAAATCAGATCCCAATGTTTCATGCTATGTTCACATACATCACCGTGTTGTTGCGGACTAAGTCAACATCTTTTGGTGAACATCCAACCATTTTCCACTGAAGTCAGTAACATGTTCTCATTTTCCACTAAAAAATCACTGGAATCCCATGTTTTTCCAACGGATGAAAACATCTGGCTAAGCCAGGGCGAGATGTCCGAGAGTCGAGAGGTGAAGTGTCCCAAGGGCCATTTGATGCGCAAGGCCACGGGCCACGGTGGTCCGGGTGAGATCCAATGGGATTCCCACTTCTTGCGGTTAAAATCTATTTTATCGATTTAATGATCATATACATAGTTCATAACCACTGAATTCCTAACTTTGGGCATTATCTATGGAAATTTAGGTTTGTTGGGAAACTAAGGTAGACATGATAGAAGCGTTAAATGGCTGAAGACAGCGGGGTGATGTTCCCCGGGTTCGCATCCAGATGATACTGTAGATGCACAGACTTGTGTGAGAAGTACGAGAGAACTCCCTGTTTGAAGTACCCTCTGGTAATTTAACATAGCTATTGAAACTTGCCACAGAAATAGTTGACTCGCCAAGAAAACAATGTGATTTTAGTTAGCCTCTGGTAAATTAACTTGTTGACCATGTTTTAATAGCCTAGTTTTAATGGAAACTCATCTTCCAAACCCGATGACTGCCAGGGTCTATGTTAATTTACTGGAGGGTATGTTAGTTTACCAGAGGGTATGTATTTTGGGATTAAATTCATTTGGTCTGATTAGCTTTATCTATGCAGACTTGAAAGTGACTGGCAAACACCTCCAGATACCTCCAGTCTTTCGATGAACTTATAGATAAGTTAGTAGTATGATCATTCTTACAGATTATTCCCCTGATGTATATAGTGTAGATCCATGGCAGGTCATTTGCGTGTGTGCTTCTCGATGCTTTTTGGATCCATCTTAAGAAACCTCTTAGTTTTTTCAATGGGAAGACATATCTACAATGGGAATAAAAAAGGATCCTAAAATAGAGATACGTTAGTACCATATGTTTGGCCATAGAAATTGGGGGTATATCCCCTTACGTAGGCCTAAAAAATAGGCCTGAAAAAATATGGTAGGTACCTCCAATCAATCGGTTCCTGTTGCATGGCCATTGAACTATGGGAATATGCCATGGACCTCGCTGTTCTCCCGAAACCTGGAATCATGGATAAGGGGAATCATCCCAAAATGGCCTTATGTCAGGTTAGTGAAATACTATAGTTTGACCAGAATCATGTGTCTTATTCATATTCAACTTTCGAAACATGTGTCTTATCACAAGTCTTAGGATGATTTTAGGGTTCCTTTTTCGAAATCACCCATTGCCAATCACGTATCTTGTTCAACTTTGCCAATACTGGTATTACCCACTGGCTTAAAATCTATTTACCTCCAGGTAATTTGTTACAATTTGAGAACCGGAAGCCATGGCCCATTTATATATAAATTAGTTCCATGGTTTACCTATTGAACATGATGATGTTCCATGTCGCAAAGTGTTTTTTAAATGACCAGAGGGTGATATCATATATATGAAGAGCCACAAGGGCCCTGTCGGCTGGGACGAGTGCGGCGGGTCTCTGGTGACCTTGGCTGAGTACTGCCTCGGCTGCACATGAGCGGCCTGGGAGCGACATTGGTCACCCTCAAATACATTGTCAAAACAGTCCCTCAACTTCAAGTCGATGATGCCTTAGTCGCTCCAATCTCCATGGCGAGGCCTCAACTTCTTGACCATGAAATTTTCATGGATGAGCGAGCTTTCCTATCAGCTGCACTGGATGCCTTAGGATTATCCAGTGGGAATTATCTCAACGGATTTTGCATGATTTTGCGTATATATTAATTCCCCTTCGGAAAAGGCCGTGAGGCCTACCCTCTTTGCCAAAACGTTTCAAGCTGCACATGATGCTTGCAAAGAGCGAAGGTGGGTAGTGGAAAAATTACACCACGAAGGTGGCAATTTCCGACTGGAGTTTTATATCACATAAACTCATATAACCAGAGAATACTTGACCAGATAATATCCCAGATTATATATCATATATCATATATCCAATAACTCATATAATTTCCCATATTCCATTATAATATTATCATATATTATCCAATATTCCATTGACCAGAGGGTGATAAATTCATATAATTTCCAACATTCCAGTATAATACTATCATAGATTATCCAATATTCCAATAATATCCCATATAGCATCTATGACCTTGGAGAATACTTGACCAGAGCTATCCACTTCAGATGGGGACTGCTTTTCGAAGAGTCCCCAGTGGCCCAGGATTGGTCCAGAGTCGGCGCCTCATGGGAATTGGTGCAGGGACTCCCTTTTTTGGGCTCATCGGAATCATGGCAAAATCGTCGAATTTTTCAGGCTAGTGACCTGTTGTTTTATGTGTATATATATATACGTACATATATAATCATATATATATATATATACATATTTGTATTTCATATAGTTCAGCCAAGTATACTTGGCTTAGTATCAGTGCCGCCATCATTGCAGTTATTCTGATGATTGTCCGATATCATCACTGGTCACGTGTGAGTATTGGCATGGATTATGTATTGGATCTATTTATTTTGGACGTGCTATCACAGGTAGTTGATGATGTAGGATGACATAGTTATTATGTACAAGTATATCATTACTATTACGAAACTGAGTATATCATTACTATAACATATTATTAATTATATTATCATGTGCTGGATTGTAATATTCTAGAGGCAACATTCCCATATTCAGAAAATTTTCGCATACCATGTTTTCATCGTATTCCAGACCTGGGTTTTGGTATGTTACTTTGATAGGCATTTCAGCTCAATCTGGAGGGAACAGTTGGGCCATGGCGAATCCACTGAATGCCCTCCCACAGCTTTCTATCCCCTATGTCGTTCCAAAGCAGCTGTGGACGTTGGATGAATTGAAGGCTGCTTTGATAAGGGTGTTTCCTCATTTGTCTACCGAAGAAGGACAGGGTTGTCAAAGGTAACGTTTTTAAAGGTTGGCTGAATAAAAATTAGCCAGTTTCTTTCCCGGGGCCTCACCCAAGGTGAACTCGGAAAAACAGAACCCACTAGCTGTGGTGTGCCCCTGGGAGTTTGGGCTGGCTTTGGGATTGGAATTTTGGTTCTGGCCCCGAAATTTCCCTCTGTGGTCTCTATACCAGCCACGAATACTCAGAATTCTTCGCATTCCATAATTTCTTCGCACTCCACATGGGACATCGCACTCCACAGCGGGACGTACACATATTGTAAAATTCACGCACTCTGCAAGATCTTCGCACTCCATAAAATCGTCGTCGTACTCCGTGTTTTTTCTTTTTTTCCGTTTTTTTTGTTTTTTCGTTTTTTTGGGTTAAAATCGCCTGGAATCACGTTTTCTGGAATATGGGGAAGATTGAGTTTTCGCGTGAGACGTCTGTAGTTTCACATACTATCGCATTCCAGGCCATTTTGGCCAAAAAAAGAAAAAAAAAAACGTCAGCAGGGTGAATTGTGACAATTTTCTGGTATATGATGGAAAAATACTGGGGTTGGATCCAAAAAGAAGGTCTAAGGGAGGCGAAGGGGGCCACGCATAATTACTGTTTTATTTTCGCATTCCAGAAAATTAGCGCACTCCAGGGGTGGCATCGTACTCTATCGGTGGAATTATTTTGCACGGAAGAAAACAGGATCGTCGATGATTTGTGTTCCCAGATCCTGTTGTGCAGAGCTCTTTGCGGGGCCACAAAGATGTCAAGAAAGATGAGGATGGCGCTGCTGGTGAAAGGCCAGCCAAGCGTGCCAGAACATAAGCTGAAAGCTTATGAATTGGGTTTTGAGATCCTGAAAAGTGTAGATGACAAATTCCCATAAGAACTTTATTAACCCATTTTTGGAAAGCTTAACGCTATTGATTATGACATTTCCAGAAATTGTTGAAAGTAAGGATCGTCTTTGGGGAAGAACATGTGCAGTCGACAACGTACGTGCCAGAAGAAAAGGAGTACGTGGCAAACTGTATGAAATACAAATTTCACCTGAAAGGGGTCTTCGCAATTCCCTGAAATTTCCCAGCTATTTTGGCATGGAATATGCTCGGCCCTGGAATATGGGCAAGAAATTGCTAGAAATATATAATATACATAATATACTTAGTAAATATCATGTACTGGATTGTAATAGTATAAATGATATTTATTAAGTATATCATTACTATTACTATAACTATAATAGATTTGTATGTATTGGATGATGTACTAATGTTCACATCCGGGCAGTAATCCTCATCACAATCATGTTCGCCAAAGCCCAGGACCGAGTAGGAATCCTCCCCTGCAACAATGAAGTGCGCCAACCGTTTTTGGGTATATGTTGGTTCTTTCCCCTCCCTCATTCGTTTCCATAGTTTCTCCCTTTTTTTGATTTTGACCTCAAAGATTTCAAATTCCCAAAGATCTGAATACATCGAGTTGTTTATTCATCCCTTAAGAAATGCAACAAAAGAAACGTGCACACGGGGAGAAACCTTGAACCACCTCACAAAAATGAAAGTAATGTGGTTAAAACACTGCCATAAACCACCCATTTGGGAATGGTTTATACGACCTATTTAATTACGGACATTTGGGGCATTGTTTATTATTGTTTTAACCACATTAACTGAATTCTTCTGTGGGGATTTGGGGTGTATACTTAGCTTTCCAAATCCCCTTTAAAGTCAATTACTTTTGCAGTCTCAACCCCTAAATAAAGTGGCGTGCCCCAAACTAAAGTGCTCCAATTTTGGGACCTTCCTAAAGACCACATGAGAATTGAACAACTACGAGCACTCTCAGATGCAATCCATAAATTTCCATGATGACATTGGCGATACAGCGCAGTGAGGAGAGGGAATGCCGCTTTCGTGGTTCCGCGACAGTCCTGAAGTTCTCTTGATGAGACGCAAGACTCAGATCATGAACATGAGCAACGCCAAAAACAAGGACTGTATGCTTTGCTGGTGTTTCAGGAACACTTCGATTGCGTCATCATGTCAGGCGAATGTCAGAAACGGTATGAGCAGTGCCACGTGCCACGCTGAGCTGCTTGGGAGGAGCCTTGAACCAACTCGGAACCACATCAAAAGACCATGTATTTCCCCCTAATAAAGTATGTGGTTAAAACAATAATGAACCAGGAATGGTTTATACCACCTACTTATCGTGAAATTGGGGAATGGTTTATTATTGTCTTAACCACATTAACTGATGTCTTCTGTGGCGATTTGGGGTGAATATTTGACTGCTATCTCAATCCCCTTTGCAATCAATTACTTTCGCAGTCTTCTAAATCACCCCTATAAATAAAATGGCGTGCCCTGAATTAAAGTATTTTCAATTTTTGGGACTTTCTCAAAATCCAAACAAGAGTCAATTCGATTTCAACATCAAACTAAGTCAGATTTCATGTCAATGTCAAATGGAAGTTGTTTTTTTCAATACTGTATCATACGTATGTGATTTCAATTAGGCACTTTGTTTGGAAATACTAAAGCGCAAAGGTTTTCTCAAAATGTGTTCGTTTTCAACTACAAGCTATTTATTTGGCGATACACAAATGCCAATGCTTTCCGAACATGTTCGTTTTCAATTGGGCAGGTTTTTGGTAGTGTTAAAAGGGTCACAACATGACACTTATGTGCTCGTTTTCAATTAGACAATTGGTTCGGCAATGCTAAACGGGTCACAACATTACATCCATCTATTTGTTTTCAATTGGGCAATGTGTTCGGTTTTACTTGGATGTGGAAGAAATCCAGGGACCCCATGCCTTTGTGCCACATTTTTTTGATGTGGAGTTTCTTTGCGGGGGTATTAACCATACGTATGTTTAAACTATAGCCATATGAGTCCGCAGATGGTTGAACCATATGACGTCTGCACTGTTGGTCAGCCCAAAGCATGATTGACAACACGACATTTTACCACCAATATATCGCTGCAACATATTTTGATATATTTAGATATATACAAATCCCCGTTTCACATGGTTCAACCACGTTAAACACGTACTGTGCTTGTATGTTTGATGGTGAACCCCCATTATACCCCATTAAGTCACCATTAGACAATACCATTATCTCACCATTATTTCACCATTGAAATGCCATTACCCAAGAAGAAATCCCATGTTTAATAGGTAAATCATAATTTTTATCATCTATGTTATGAATGTGCCATTTTCCATCCATTTCCCATAACTATGTTAAAGAACCAGAGGGTACATCCCATCAATGGCCATTTCAGGAACCTAAAATAGAGGTACTGTACCAAATAGAACCATATTTTGTTGGGATATTCCCTTAGGCCTTGCATAGGCTGCTTGGTGGTTTGGAACATTTTTTATTTTTCCATATGTTTCCATATATTGGGAATAATCATCCCAACTGACTTTCATATTTTCCAGAGGGATAGGTATACCACCAACCAGATAATTAACCATCATTACCCATCATTAACCATCATTAACCACCATTACCCACCATTAATCACCATTAACCACCATTAGCAACCATTAACCACCATTAATCACCAATGGTACCTCCAATCAATCGGTGAAATGACCACTGATCCCACGATGTCACCCACTGAGACGGGCCACATCTGCGACGAATGTTCGCGGCGCGGCACCGCGGCGCGCTGTGGTGGAGGTGCGGCCAGTAACGATGGGTTCCATGGCACCCAACCGAGGACAAGTTGTGTTTGTTGTTTGATGTTCATCCAGTTAGATACCCTCTGGTAAACGTTTACATAGCTATGGAAAATCCACCCATTCTTAATGGGTAATCTACTATTTCTATGGCCATGTTCAATAGCTATGTTAGTTTACCAGAGGGTATGTTTGTTGGTGGATGTTCATCCAGTTAGATATGTCTTACGTTCTACAGTTTGTTGATGTTCACCCATCTAAGTAGGATTTTTTTCATGATATATCTCTACAAGCATCCATAAAACCACATTGTAAACCCAGTTACCCTTTTGTAAACCAACGAAAAGATGTGGTTTTCACCCACCATTTTTTGGGGGGTCCTTTTCCTGGGTTTTCCACATCTATGTTACCCCAGGGTAGATGCTATAAGGTTGTTGATGTTCACCCATCCAGCAAAATATCGAAGTTTGATGTTCTTTTACCTAAATATGGATATATCATGAGATAGATCTCCATGAACATCCATAAACCATGTTCTACACCTAGTTATCTGTTCAAAACAGACACCGATCGACCTGTCTGGAGGGATGAAGAAAAACATGTTGCAACGTGAACCTCACGTCGCGAACTCATCATAGATATCCATAGATGATGCTTAGTAAGGAAATCCTCCTCACATGGCCTTATTTCAGCTTAGTGAAACAATTATTGTCTTTTCGCAGGAATGATGGTTGATTGATGGTTGATAGGCACAATTAACATGGGATGATCATGGGATTGCATCTTCTGAATGGTGCGGGTGCTTGATGGCAACGATGAAACATATGGGGATATCATGGGTGCACGTTGGTTGATAACGGTTATTGTATTACCCTCTGGTAGTGACTAACAGTTTGCTATTGAACATGGCCATAGAAATAGTTGATGATTTACCCATTAAAAATTGTGATTTACCATAGCAAACTGTTAGTTTACCAGAGGGTACCTGGTTCATTCGGGTTTACCATGACCTTTCAATACCGAAGGGAGACAGGAATACCTATCGTGGCCATGGGTGGTTCCAGGTCCTGGATGTGCAACGCACCGTGCATGTCATAACTGCATAATCTGGGTAATGTTGGTAAAACAAAAATACACCACCCTCAATTTCACCATTTTTATAGGTTGTATAAACCATTCCCAAAGGGGTGTACTATTGTTTTTCCCATTTTTCCCACATTATATCCAAGATATAAGTGGCATTGAGCAATGGTTATGTATAGGCATTCGATGGTTTACGATTCCTGGTAGGCACGTCCAAACGCTTCTACCCTCCAGCAATCAAGATCAAACCTGAACCCCAAAGTCAAGATATAGTAAACCCAGTGCCATGAGGCCTGAAAATGAGGTACCCCTAAAACTTACTGGTTGATCATCCATGATGATCATCCTTTTCCCCATGAAAAAGGCAAAAATCAGTAGTACACCACATCTGGAGTCAAACCCAAGTGCGGATGATATGGAGGTTTCCCGAAATATGGCTTCCCCAAACCATTATTATTTGTTTCATGTTTTTTCCATAATCACCAATAACTTGGATGATTTTCCAGTACCAGTTTGGGAAACGCCCATCCATCTTCCCCCGCTTCGGTGGCCGGAGGTTGCGACTACGACCTCTGTGAGATGTGTTACAAACATCATCTCAAGGGCTGGGCTTCTGCGGTGCAGAGGAGGCAGGAGTTGGTTTTTTTTTCGCTGGCGTGTAGTGGTGAAAAATGGGATACAAAGGAGCCTTTATGTGGATTTAATGGGATTTAAATGATTTTGATGGATATAATACATACCATATAATAGGGTTTTGAGTGGGATTTAATGGGATTTTATTAATTAATGGGATTTAAAGGAGCCTTTATTGGGATTTAATGGGTTTTAAATGATTTTAATGGATATAATATATACCATATATGGTTTTTAATGGGATTTAATGGGATATCATATGGGTTTTAGATGTTTTAAGTGGGATTTATATATTGGGATTTTGATGAGATCAATCAAGGTTATTAACTATACCGAAAATTCGTCTGGGGATATCAGATTTCAACCACCAAACGTTGGAAAAAAAACATTGTTGTTCATGGGATTATTATCGGATTATAATGGACGTATGAGTCACCAGTGATGCCCTAGGTCGTTTGCTAAGTTGCTTTAGTTCACCGCCAAAATGATTTTTGTTGTATTGAACTAGTTAGGGTGAAACATAAACCAACAAACGCAACTGGTAGGGTCACATGTTACAGGGTAAAGGTACCACCACACTATGCGGATAGCTCGCTTGTAGATTCATAAGATAGTCCATCACTTTGACCCTCTCTTGCAGCAAAATCATCTGAATTCTCCAGGAAATCATCTGTAAGTGCCAAAGAGCAACCAGCTTCATGGTCACATGTGGTTTTTCATTCCAACCTGTGGCAACTATGTGGAACTGACGAGAACGACAACTCGATGATGATCATGTCCTCCAGGAAGGGGCCAGAGAACAATAGGTAAGTTGATATACAACTTGGCTAACCATTAGATTTATGGTGGATGATATATATATTTGATATAACATATATATATATGATATTTAAAATTTAATATAAATATATAGAATATATTATGTATAAGATACATATATATATACATAATAGCAAATATACAATATAAAATATATAATAATATATATAGTATATTATACCATACTTGGGTTATAGACCAACAAGGACAACTGCAGGGCATCACTTTTCAATACCACAATATCACTTACACTCTATTGAATCCGATTACAGTAGATCAAAGTTGCTTGTTGGTTAAATTCCGATTGTGTCTCATTAAAGTACCCTTAACAGCAAAGCCCAATTGTATATCATTAAAAAAATGCTATGGGAGCTTACTAATCATCAACAACTACAATCCCTACTGCTGATGGTCACATTCCAGTAGAATTCAATCCCATCAACGTATATTAAAGCCACCGCATGCCACCACTAGAAATCCTCTAGTTTTCAAAGTTCAACAAACGCTTGGCAGCACCGCTTTGACATGCTTGGACTCCTTGCAGCAAGGAAAAGGTTAAAGTTACCAGTAAAGCCACCATTGTATAAATTGCTTCCTTGCTGATAGTAACTGGTGGTTGCTATGGTTATCCATTTTATAATGGTGGTTTATTTATAAATTCTTTCCTCTAGCTTTTGATGGTCAGGGACTTCAACGCGTTGGGCTCAGGGGCTTCGCCTCAAGAGACGGTGCCATGAATTTTGCCTCGCGCCATGGAGTGGCCCAGCTTCTGGCGATGAAACCATGGTGGGAAATGGTGGGAAATCACAAGCAGAAACGATGAAGTGTATCATTGGACATGTTAGAAAATATTGAGGTACTATGAGTTGAGGATTTTTGATACTGTTTTTTCGGTGATTTTATGAGCAAAGAATGAGGTATAATGAGTTTATAATTGGATACAAGTAGTGGTGCTATGTGACTTCATTTTTCAAAACATGAATTCACAGCGATTATCAGCGAGGAATTGTTAAATGTGATTTTTGAGACACCAAAAACCGGAAACTTAGAAGTTTGCGAAAGCCTTGCAGATATGAGAATGGAAATCAGTGAAATATCAGAGTTCCCCCAATGTTGAAGACCTTCCTGTGTCATAAGCTTCGCATACTTTGACAAAAACCAAGGAAATCTGTTGGAATGGGAGCCTTACTTCTTGGATAATCTTGTTGATATCTAACTGGTTGGTGGTTCGGAACATGTCTGATTTTCCATTACTATTGGGAAGAATAATCCCAACTGACTGGTTGGTTACTGGTTGGTGGTTTGGAACATGAATGGATTATTTTCCCCAATAGTTGGGATGATGATCCAATCTGACTTTCATATTTTTCAGAGAGGTAGGTATACCACCAACTAGATATTAGCCTGGGGGTTTATGGAGGATTACAACTATAGTTCGGCTCGGGTCTATGGGCTACTTATCATGATCATGGTGATACCGTTGAAAAGATCCTGCAGTTGGTAGATGGTGTTTGACCTATGATAATCCCATGATTAACAACGTTTCATATATGGCCAACTTGGGGGAAGTGATGTCACTTATGACTCAGGCGGCAGGGCAGGCACAGGTCATGTTGCGCATGATCGAAGCATGCCAGGCAAGCGCGTACACTGATCCAGTGTTGCTTGCTCTGTTTGGCGCCCTGGATTTAGTATCGGTAAAGCCCATATCTTCTGACGGGAACGGACCGACCAATGCTCGCACCTAATTTATTCGCCGTTGTGTTGCATTCTTGTCCAAGATCGGTTACGATGGAGTAAATCCCTTGACGAACGAGCGGTGCTGCCCCACCCATAGCACCCTCATGGTGCTCTATCATCGGGTCTTCAATGCATCCGGCCAGATGCGTAACAACGTTGCAATGGTGCTTTCCAGGGTTGCATTGTCGACGGAAGTTGAAAACTCTCTGGTGTCTGATCTTCTGATCGACATTCACAATTTGAAAAAGAGCGGAGGAATACATCATTTGAAGGTGATCGACGTCCTGTGTCGTGATCTGCCTGAAGTGATGGGGGTACAGGAACTATCGGCGGAGTTGGTCAACTTCATTCTGAACCATCCACAGTATTCCGCAGTATTCCCAACCAGTTTTAAGGTTACAAACCACCTACCAACTGCTGCAGGATTTCTGAACCATCCACAGTATTCTGCAGTATTCCCAACTAGTATTTCATTAGTATTCCCAATTAATACTGGTTCGTGGTTTGGAATATGTTTTATTTGTCCATAATATATTGGATAATCCTTCCCATTGACTAATATTTTTCAACATGGGTTGAAACCACCAACCAGAATCTAATATTTAACAGATTCAGTGGTGATTTGAATGGTAAAATCATCTATTTCTATGGGCCATCTATACCACGGCTATGTTAGTCATAACCAGAGGGTAATTCACCATCAAATCACCATCAAAATAGTGGTTAAATCCCATTAAATCCCATGTAATCACCATTAACCACCATTAAATGATTAGTGATTAAATGATTAGTGATTAAATGATTAGTGATTAATTACCATTAACCACCACTAATCCATGGATTTAATCCCATTTAATCACCATTAACTCACCATTATTCCATTCGTATTCCCAGTGAGTTTACTTCCAATCCATTCCACGCCCAGACGCCCAGGCTCCAAGCGCTGGTCCTTTGATCCTGGGACCTCTCCGTCTTTTGTCAAACTGCGGAGAACTGGTCCAGGGTCTGAAGCTGAAGCAATAGGGTTTTATGAACTATGGAGGTAGTGAACAACAAATGTGGTTATGTCATGTTATATCATGTAGATATGTAGGGTAGTTAATTTAGATGATGATGATTATTATTATTACCAATACTGGGAGTATGAACAATGGGAATTTGTATAATATAAATAATGGGATAATTTCCAAATTTATTCCCATATCATTGAACCATGGGATATTAAATCAATAAAGCAATGAAACATTTGATCAGCAATTGGGGATTACCAAAATTCGTGAGAATTGAGAATATGGGAGAATCATGGAGAATGCTGATCAATCATCTTCACGTTATGGGATGGTTGCGGGATGAATGAAGATGTATATCATAGGTTTATACCATAGGAAAACCATAGGAAAACCATAGGAAATGGTTCATGATTGCTATTAATGATGGTTATTAATGATGGTTACTGGTTACCTGGTTGGTGGTTTGGAACATGATTGGATTATTTTCCCCAATAGTTGGGATGATGATCCAATCTGACTAATTAATATTTTTCAGAGGGGTAGGTATACCACCAACCAGTTTATATGGTGGTTTCCATAGTCATGAGGGTACCCCAAGCTCGCTGGATGGTTTATTTTGGAAAGTCCGAACATAAAATGGAGAAATGGATGGTTCAGGGCCCAGGCCCTATTTCAGGAAACGTCCATATTGATTTATATTGACCTAGCTGGTGGTTGGGTGCCAAGGGGCATCCTTGGCATCCAGCAGGAATCCAGATTTTCCCCATTGGTTGATGCTGAGGGGTCACCGTTCTTCACAACCAATAGGTAGATTGGATCCACGTTTGGGAATGCTAACTATAGCTGGTTGGTGGTTTGGATCATGAATTTTATTTTCCATAATTTATGGGATAATCCTTCCCATTGACTTTCATATTTTTCAGAGGGGTAGGTATACCACCAACCAGGTAATAGTTTGAACAATGGAAAATCACAAATTCTTGATGGGTAAATCCACTATTTCTATGACCATTTTCAATAGCTATGTTTGTTTACCAGAGGGTAACGGTAATAGTTCGAATGGAAACAACAGATTTAATTTCGAACTTTGGGTGTGAGCATGGACCAAGCATTGATGATGCCAAAATCCATAGAGCTGTGGTTTTGGACACCACAATTCATCCCCAAAATTAATCCCCATGAAAAACTTACCACAACCATGGGGTATTATAGTTAACTCCCGATTGTTATTGCATTGACCCATGGAAGAATTCCCGAAAAAAAACAATCTGTTCATTTAGAGGCTGCCATTGTCTTCCCATCCATTCCATGTTTTTTTTCGTTCATTAACATGGATTGTATTCCCACTATATTCCATGATATGTCCCATATATTCCATGATATTTCCCACTATATTCCATGATATTTCCCGTATCTTCCCATATGTTCCCACATATTCCCATATAAATATGTATACGTATATATATATATATTATACATATATTCCATGACATTCCCATATATACCATCATGTTTCTTGATTTCAAAACACCCGACACCGCACCGATCTGGGGGCGTCCGGGCGAAGATCAGGTCTCGAGATGGAAGACCATCCATGGCTCGACGGATGGCGGGAACTGCGAGAGGCGACCGTGCTGCGACAGCTCCTGTTGGTTACCGTTAGCCTCTGGTAATAGGGAAAATCACCATCTTTTATAGGTAAATCAACTATTTCTATGGTTCATTTTCAATAGCAAACTGTTAGTCATTACCAGAGGGTATGCTTGCTAGGTATTTCACAATATGGCATATAGAAGGATTTCATGGGGACTTATCACCCACTTTCATGCGATTGGATGAGATCTTCATGATATTGTTCAATGAAACCAATCAAATGTGGCGAATGCTGGGGAAATTCATCGAACAAAAATGTGAGATTTTCCGTTGCAAGGTCGAATTGCTCGAGGGTAAAGGGTTTAAGACGGTTTAACCATCAACAGGGATGTAAAATGTAAATGGGCATATTTGATAAATGATGGTTGGTTGATGATTAGTTCAGGGTTATATATACTAAAGCATGTGTGTTGAACTTTAGGTGATTTGGGAACGCAGTGCAACTGGCAAAATAAATGTTTTTTCTTGCTGTACATGGGACTGTATTGAACATATCCAGCTAAACATTTTTGTTTTTAGCTTGGTGTGCCAGATTCGTCATGAAGATTGGATGTACATCATATATTGGGTCAAAATTGGCATGTTTAGGGGATGAATAACTCTAGATCTCTGATATTTCGATGGTGACCAGGGGCACCATGGTTTTGATCTACAATCATATAATAACAATCGGGGGTTAACATACCAGTACTTATACCTGCATAGTAGTGTTACTTAAAATTGTTGGTCAACAACTATACCAATTATTCATAGCGATGAAAGCCATGACCCATTTAGCTGGATGATTTTCCATTATTTGCCTATTAAAAAATGTGATTCCCAATTCCCATAGGAAATTGTTAGTTTACCAGAGTGTATACCACCATAGCTATGTTGATACCCCAAAATATCCGTGTGCTGATTGCATTCTTCCATATCCTTCCCATTATATATATATGGAGGTTTCCTGGAATGGGGGTACCCCCAGTTCTCATCCATTTTAATATAGGATGTCTATGAAATAAACCAACCAAAACAAGGGGATCCTCCATGACTATGGAACCCCCCATATATAGATTCTACTATAGATAAATTAACAGGTTACTCATATAGATAAATATTAGATAATTTATAGATAATATATGTCGAATATTGCAATCTAATATAGATAATTTTTAGATAATAGATATATCTATCACTACTCATATGAGCTGATTGTAAACATATATGTTGAGAGTATATATTTAGGGATAATAGAAAATCCATAGATATAAACAAAATAACACACATATATATATATATACAGTATATCAATAATCTGATAATGGATAACCCATAGATAATCCAAAATAGATAACTCATAGATATATGGTTATAAATATCTATAGATAGTCCATAGATATATGAGCCATTAAGAATTACCCTGGTTGAGACCACCGCTGTCAGGCCTGCACTGCTTGGACTCAACGCTTCCGCAGCCTCTACCGGCAGGTGCGATTTGTGATTTTGAACAATGATATGTCCTTGGAAAACTAGGGATTCAACCATTACTGGTTGGTGGTTTGGAACATTTTTTATTTTTCCATATATTGGGAATAATAATCCCAACTGACTTTTTTTTTCAGAGGGGTTGAAACCACCAACCAGATATAACTGAACATAACCCATGAGTTAATGTCTAGGGATTATACACTGGTAGGACAAAAGGTGCGCTTGTTGAGCTTCCGACAGTGAACATGTTTGAGTTCTTCTCCTGCACACCCTTTCTCCTTAGAATCCTAACATGGAGCTTTGTCGTACCCTGGTCGCATTTCCACCTTCCAAATGCTTTTAAATCTTATAGATTTAATAGAGGGTGATAATTGACCGTCCCACACCTGCCACACGAAATGGACTTGGAAATGTGATCCGCGGTTGACCGAGATGGATGTTTCCTCCTGAGGTATCCCAACTTATGGAGGTTAATAACATTTTATGACCTAACACAACCATGATTTAATTCTACAAAGTGGTGCTCCATAGCTAAGTTGGTGAACATAACTCCAGCAACTAGGACTTATGGTAGAGATATCTATAGTTGATGGGGTTATAAACCAACAAACATATCTGGGGGGCATCACATTGTAGGGATGTCCCAACTTATGCAGGTTTATAACCCTGATTCAACGATTATTTAATGGTTGGTTGATGATGTGCTAAGGAAAACACTGCTGAATGTATTAATGTATATGTATGTGTGTATATATATATTGAGGATTGCTAGAATCTATAATGGAATTTTCAAAAAACATGGTGATATGATGTGTACATAGTCTTGATTAAAGGAACTAGCTGATCGTTTGAGATACTGGCTGGTTTAATGGGATACAACCCATCATAGTGATATAATGGGATTTTAGTGGAGATGTAATGTTTATTTAACTAATCATGATTCGAACATATTTCTTAGTGTTTTCAACTTGCTAGGTTATTTAACTAATCACCAAACAATCTAATATTTTTCAGATTCAGTGGTGATTTGAAAGTTGGATCTTGATCCCCATTGAAAGTTGCATATTTTTTTGTTGTTGACACCAGAAAAAAAGTCAAACTTGGGAAATAGAAAATGAAAAAACATATGTTGCTGTAACAATGGGAAAATTGGGAAAAATCTTGAAAAGCAATAGTTCTGATTGTCGGACACTCGAAGCCAGGAGTTGTCTCCCAATATGATTGAATATGTGGCACTTGTACGTGAGACAGCGGTCAGTTGTTTAAACAATAGATGGGAATAGTTGGGATGATGGCTACACAGTTTCACATTTTGCAACCCTAAAGTCAAAAAGTCCTTTCATGGGTCCATCCTGTCCTCCGGTCATGAATCAGTGGGTCGTTCCGCCACTTTTTCTTACTCGGAATGATTGATCAGCTTCTCGACCAGTCAAGTTTACCGGTAATTTCTACCCACTATTTTGCTCATTGATATTACTTACCATTAACAACTTTGAAAATTGAGGTGTTTCTAGTTACTATCCGCAAGATAAATTTACCATTGGTGGTGACTAACCACCAGTGAACCAGTTTGTCAATGCTGACCAGCATTCATTTTTGCCTCTGGGATGTGCATCCTAGGAATTGTAAGTGGATTGTAAGCCATTTATGGCTGTGGATGATCCCATACCTACCTGGGTCGAAGGAAGACGAAGCAAAAAATCAAGACCAAGCTGGGCAACAAGTGGAATGTTGACAGATGTTGACAGGGTACATGCAAGAGAGCATCATATCAATTACCATCTGGTAAACTAACATAGCCATGGAAAATCACCATTTTCAATAGGTAAACCATCTATAAATGGGCCATTTTCCATGGCTATGTTAAATAACCAGAGAGTATCAATCCAGTTCACCCCTTGTTGCTGCCACTTCAGCAGTTTCAAGAAATTCAGTTGATTGATCATGCGGAGTATACTATCTGTTTATGTAGTACCCTCTAGATATTGGTGATCATCACAATCTGGCTGGTGGTTTCAAACATTTTTTATTTTCCATTTCATATATGGGATGTCATCTTTCCCATTGACTTTAACTCCATCATTTTTCAGGATGGTTATTGCACCACCAACCAGTAATCCATGAACTGGGAATACACGTTAACCAACCATTGTATGAGGCAGTATATAATCATCCAGGTTCTGTGTGATCAAAAACACACGAAAGATCTATCGAATTGTGTCATGGTCAGTAGCCTCCAATGATTGAAGAAAACACGGGTGAGCAAATCATTTACTTGGAAATAATGTTCAACAAATATATCTTGGACACAGCAACACTTTCATTTCTTACAGTTTAAAAAAGTCGCCATAGCCGTTGTTGAACACTGCGCGGTTCACCGTCGAGCTCAGCAGCAGGAAGTGGTCGAGGACAGAAACGTGAAACAAAAGACATCTTGGAACCCTCAGTGTTCCAAACGAAAGATAAGACGGGCAAGGCTGCCCGGTCTGCACCCAAGACGCCCGGAGCGTTGGAAGGAGATGTCATGATGGCAGATGTGGAAACGAAGGATCACTGGAGAATCAGTGACACTTATGCGATCCGAGTTCATGTTGAATAAGACGCATGGCAGGATGTAGTGGTTCCTGACCGCGGGCCAGAAGGGATGAAGAATTCCAAGGACGTTAGTCCACCACATCAGTGGAGCAGGTGGTCCAAATTGGATCTCCAACTTGCAGGTGCCAAGGCGAGTGAGGAAGGCCTAGAGGAGAAAGAGATGGAGTGGGAATAAACAACAGAAACAAAAAAGGGAAACATGTTTGTACATTGGGTGTTTCTAAAAATCGCGGGGTATCCCCAAATAGAAAGTTTAGTAGTGAAAATTATGATTATCCGTCAAATGTTTGGGGTAAGAATTTTTGGAGAAACCCACATCATTATACATAGTTCAAGCCAATTAATTGCCATCACGTCTCATCCAAATCTATATCTAATTAATCACTTTTGATGAACACCAGTTTTTATGCTTATCAAGTGTAATTGATATCAGTTGTATTTCAGGTGGTTACATCCATGTTACATCTCCATGACGTTTGACATTCCTCGATGGTGTCCAGCCAGGCCTTAGGGACGGACCGAAACTCGGGCCGTGAGGGACCCTTTTTGCCGACCACGACACCGACGCGGACGGTGTGGAAACCCAACACCTTTGGGTCGCGGTTTAAGGGTGCTTTCCACTTAGTAAGATAGGTTATACAGTTATACCCCTAGTTATATTATCTGGGATTATATGGGTTATCTGGGATTATATATATATATATTATCTGGGATTATATACTATCCCCACTTTTATCTGGGATTAAATGGGTTATAATTTATATATATATAAGTATGGCTTACAAACCAGTTGCTACGTAGGATGCACATCAACGTGGGATGGGCTGATGAGTTTGTCCAGGAAGTCGCGCGACGGGATTTGATTGAATTAACCGCCACCACCAGCAGCAGCAACAACAACAACAACATTTTAACATCTTAAGACCTTAACATCTTAACCGTCTTAACCTGACAAAACAAAACAATATCAATGAAAACTCAATGATAACTTCTGATATCCAAGACTCATAAACCGTCAGTGATGATTAAAATAATCAAGTGTGGCAAACCCAAGGATAAACCATCAATTATATTCAATCATTATTTTGAAAAAAAAGCTCATGACTAAGTCAAGCCATTCACTAGCCAAGGCCGAAAGCCCGCTGCCTGCGGGCTTGGTGGTGGATGTCCGTAGAGGTACCCGGATCAGGTGCAGATGGAATGCTGGGAAGACGTGGCGGAAAAAACTATGGTTTATGGATGTTTATGGTAGATATACCCTCTGGTAAACGTTTACATAGCGAACTGGAAAATCACCATCTTGATTAGGTAAATCAACTATTTCTATGGGCCATGCTCAATAGCTATGTTAGTCATTACCAGAGGGTAACTATAATTAATGAGGGTTATAATGGTTTATAAATCAACAAATAACTGGGGGGGCCCATCCTGTGGGAACTGAAAAAGTTTGTTCGTTTTTTAAGCGATGGAAAATCAGGAATTCGGCGGGGATTGGAGTATCCAACGGGGGATCAGACGATAGGGAGATTAATATGGATATTAGTGGTGACTTAATGGTGATTAACATTAGAATTGTGATTATCTTATGCAGATTATGAATAGTGATTATCATTTGATTATGTGACTTAATGGTGCTTTACCCTCTGGTCATGGAATGTGAGTGACTGGTTGGTGGTTTGGAACATGAATGGATTATGACTTTCCATATACTGGGAATAGTAACCCCAACTGACGAAGTCCATCATTTTTTCAGAGGGGTGGCTCAACCACCAACCAGTTGGGATTGGAGTATCCAAGGGGGATCAGACTGCTTAAAAAAGTGGGGAATCGACAAGTGGGGAATCGACATGTGTCACACATGTATTTACCAGAGGGTTAATCACCATTAAGTCACCAGGAAAATATGCCTATTAAATCACCATTATGTCACCAAACATGCTATCTTGTCGAAATCGGGAAATATCATGAAATATCCCTGGACATGGCCACACAACAGGAAGTTGATGAGAAAAACCACGAGACATCATGTACTTAGAGATGTTTCGTGAGAGGAACACAACCGGCAGAAATTGGGATGCCAGCAGCTGAAAAACGGTATCATAATTTAGTGGTGTCAGATGGAAAGGAATGATACATGACTGGGTGGAATACAAACATACTTGCTAAGGGCTTCATCGGTTGAAGGACATGTTGTTTTGTGTTTATGCACACACCATGTTGAATTTCCAGGACACACTTTTAGCTGTAGGGTGTTTGATTGATCCTGCAAATGATGTGGATTGTGGGATGCTCAAGTGTGGATGATGAGCACAAGGCTTTCTTGAGGATCAATCAACGGTCATGCAGATGTTGTAAGTGTACATGAATGTACATGCATGTACATATCCAACATGTCATATTGATACGTGTAAACAATACACA